GGTACATTTTCTATGTATTAGTCATTTCTTGATAAGCCTAGGAAGTCTAAATGTTTTAAATGAATAGTTTAAACTCACAATTATTTTTACGATTAGCTAAAACGCATGGTATTTATAGATGTATAGTCTAAGTTATTAAAGATTTTTATTTGATTCTTTGGTGTTCCTTTATTTGAAGACTGTTCGAATCAAACAGAAAAAGTAGGAAGTTAAAAGATGGGTCGATTTCGGAAGTTTTATCTGAAGATTGCTGTGGTATTATGTGGTGCTTCTGTCTTTAGTTACCTGTGCATGATTATTGGAGTTGTGTATGACAACAGTTCAAAATATCCATACGTTAAACATCGTCAGGTAATGGTGCTTGTTAGATTATGTTAAAGTTTGCGTGTAATGTCAGGGTTTTAAAATCGTAAAGTTTGACAAAATCAGTGATCATTGCCTGTGTTTGTTTGTTTCTTTGTGTCTTGTTTCATGTTATTCAGAATATTAGTATTTTATATATTTACTTGTGTTTACCTACTGTCTGTTGTTTTCTCTTGGTCTACTGCCTCTGTGTGTGGGTCTACAGTTCTATGTCTGCATGGCTATCGTTTAAAAAAAAAATAAAAGTATCAATTTCGGTGACAAAAAACCTTTAAGACGTTAGCAATGATAAATGCCAGTTAAAATATCTTGTTATCGTATACAAAATTTTATTTCGCCAGTTACCATTTAACCACGACACTACCGGATGTAAAGCTAACCACAGTGTTGTCCAGGCTGACGAGATGGTCAAGAAATTTCGTGAGATTCACAAGCCAAAAAGATCCATTTATTATTTAGACGAGGATGAACCTTACATGAAGCTCATCAAAAGGTTAAAACTGTTCAGAAAGAGAGGGCTTCTACTAGGTTCTTTTCTCAACATACCAGGGTATAGCGTCTAGTTTGTGTCCATATTAATTGTGTGATTAGTAACAGTGTATACTTTGCATTGTGTAAATGTGGTGTCATTATGGCTCCATGGCTAGTTTAATATTTGAAGCAAACAGTACGGAAAAGTTTTGAATGTTGTGATTTTCTCAAGACCTATCTGTTAATATGGTTTTCAGTTTATTTTAACTTAAATGTGATGGTTAGATTATTTGTTTTCAGAAAAGGTTTTTAGTATATGATATGTATTGTTGCAAATCTCATTTGTCCAGTAACTGACAACAGTAATTTTACTTCTTCTTTTCGTATTTAATTCTACTTTTGTACGGGATTCCCTAGCTAGCGAGTCTCATCTACTTCAGGGTTCAAACTCAGGACTTTTGGGTTAAACAACCATGAACTTTACCGACCCACCCACAACTAACCAAAATAATGTGGCTATAACATTTACAAAAATATTCCATTTGAGGCATAGTAAAGGCCTCATAACTGGCTACTACAAAACTAGATGTGTGTTCTTGTTGTTGGCACATCGCTTAGCACATTCCTGTAGAGAATTATATTCGATTTAAATCATTATTTCAATTAAAATAAATATTTAAGTAGATTAAGACTCTCTGTTAAAAAGTTAACATTGACTGTATCTTTTCCCCAGCAACAGCAGCTGGCAGAGATTCCAAAGAAACATCAACCAGTATTACCTGTACGACCCTGACCAAGACAACATTGTCGCTGATTTGTTGAAAGATTTAAGCAAAAGGCCTATTGTTGCCGCAAGTATAACATAAACCAATCACATATGTTTTGAAATAATGATAAATAACTTTGAAATCATTTGCATTTATTTCCATAACGTTAGCACTCAGTATTGCCTAAATTGTTATTGTTGTAGGCTACAACCATGTTGTCTACTATAGTGTAGTTAGCGAATGCTAGAGATTTTCAAACAACACCTGACTGTTTGTTAAAATGTGATTTACATTCTAACAAACCAGTGCATTAATTAAACCAGAGGTTTTTGAAATTTAGAAAGGAAAAAAAAACAATCCATACATTTAACAGATAAGCTTATTTTTCAAGTCATCAGGACCAACACTGGTAGCTCGCATTAATTTAATCAACTAAGTTTTTAAACTTTTAGAAATGAAGAAAAAAACAACTAAACGTATGAGCACATTTTTCCCTTTCACAGAATCAAAAACCGGTACCTCTCATTTAGCTTTGCACTTGACCTTTGATGACGGAAGTAAAGGTATCTTCAAGGCCATGAGGTTAATGACGCTTTTACATTATTGATAAATTATTTATGTGCACTAATATTATGAACGAAACAGTATTTTGTTGGTCTATTATTTCCAGAGCTTAAGGTAGTCTATTTTTTAAAAATAAAATCATAATCTAATAGCATACGTGGCTGATGATCCTTATTAATACTTTAGAACACCAAAACACCAGGAATCAGCACCGAATAGTTTCCACTTCAGTGATATAGAGCGACCAACGGCTGAAATAGCAGCATTTCACCTGGACATGTAAGAGATCAAATTGTTGTACACGTTTGTAAATTTAAACATTGTACTTTGTAATCTAAAATGAAAATTAATCTTTTTCTATATTTACCGTACTGCTCCTAAAAAGTATCTTCTTCTGTAGGGTGCTGGCGTTTTACCGTACTCCTCCTACAGTGGGCAGGGTAATGAACATTTCTAGAGATATCGTTATGGTTGGTGATGAAGATATACAGGAAACTGCTCATTGGTCTCCAGGTACTTTGTCTTGCTTCATTGGTCGTCAGGTGTTTTAGTCTTGTTTCATTGGTCGTCAGGTGTTTTAGTCTTGTTTCATTGGTCGTCGGGTGTTTTAGTCTTGTTTCATTGGTCGTCAGGTGTTTTAGTCTTGTTTCATTGGTCGTCAGGTGTTTTAGTCTTGTTTCATTGGTTGTCAGGTGTTTTAGTCTTGTTTCATTGGTCGTCAGGTGTTTTAATATTGTTTCATTGGTCGCCAGGTGCTTTAGTCTTGTTTCATTGGTCGTCAGGTGCTTTAGTCTTGTTTCATTGGTCGTCAGGTGTTTTAATATTGTTTCATTGGTCGTCAGGTGTTTTAGTCTTGTTTCATTGGTCGTCAGGTGCTTTAGTCTTGTTTCATTGGTCGTCAGGTGTTTTAGTCTTGTTTCATTGGTCGTCAGGTGTTTTAGTCTTGTTTCATCGGTAACCGGTATATTAGTCTCGTTAACTTACCTAATTTATCAACACCCTCAACTAACATGAATCTATTTGTCCATGTTTCAGCTAAGAACTTCTGTTTTATTGGAAAGTGTAAGGACTTTTGCACTCAATACTTTGCTGTATGCGGGAGTCCATATCTAATAGAAGGCTCCATCTCTGCCTTCCTCCCTAACAGATCCATGGATCAACCTATGAATTGGATCTACAACCCGTACTGTCAGTCTTATGGATACAGGGAAAAGGTCAGTTTAGTATTTACATTTTTTCTATCAGTGGATAAAAACTTAAAATCTGTTTAGCCTATACGCTAAAACAATGACTTCAAAGTATTCAAAGTTTTAAAAACCCTTCCCACAAAGTTTGTCTATGATATACCTCCAGTGACTATTTCTGATCTAAACAAAAGATTTTAAACTGCAGGCGGTTTGGGAAAACAACGACACCTATTGTGACTTAGAGGTGAAGACTAATCCGTTCTACCAGAAACGGCCTCTATTGGATCTCGTGGACATGTCCATTTTTGATTTTCTACAAGGTATGTCTTTTTACAAGAGGTCTTTTCTAGCATATGTTAGCAAAAATATAAAATAATACACATACACGTAAAATAGTTATATATATATATATATATATATATATATATATATATATATATATATATATATATATATATATATATATATATATATATATATATATATGAGAGCTGTAGAGTAAGCCGTCTTTAGTCAGTTTACTTAAAAACCTAAATTTACAGTTTTCATTTTAACTTTGTAATCTCTGTTACAGCGATGGGTAGTTGATTGTAGTCTTGTTGTTTTCTTGTATCAATCTCGTTTTCTACCTAGAGAGACAGATTCTGGTGACTTATTTATATTTAATTATATTTGATTAAACTTAGGTCTGATTTATGTTAGGCTATATTGGAGTTAACTAAATGTTTACGTTTGGCCCTAGGGAACTTGGATCGACATTCGTTTGAAACCTTCAAGATGTTTCGCAACGACACGTTTTTCTTACATTTTGACAATGGCCGTGGGTAAGTTAGTCGTCAGCTGATAAGTCGGATTAGCTAATCTCGTTTATTGTTCGTCTATTTGACCTACTCAGCTTCCGACTGATACACACCAATCAGTTGCGATGGCAAAAAAATAATAATTTGGAAGCCCTAGAAAGTTCACTACTATCTAGGTGAACAATGATGCATTTTAAAGATTGGTTTTATTTCTCGAAACAGATAAATGCCCTTTTTAAGGTTGAAAGAAATCTATCTTATCAATGTCCTGTTTTACCATGGCAAAAATATATTTGCTATCAGTGAAACAACATAACAAATAAAAAATTAACAGAGTTTTGTCTAAAACATACCTTTGGGGATCTTTAGCTTTATAATCTTGATTACATTGACCTGTAAATAATTATGAACATTTAATTGTTTTGAAACTAAACAAATCTATTACCAAAATATATACATTTCAGTACATAACTCAGTCTTATACTCTCTAACCACCAGATTCGGCAAGAAAAAAATGGACTACATGTCGTTACTCGCCCCAGTTCGTCAATGTTGTAAAATTCGGTTATCTACCCTTGCCAAGTTGGTTAAACTTTACACTGGACCAGACAGCCTCAGTCAACTACTTAGGACGTCATTAAGCTCCGACCCCTTAGCTCCGGTATTGGATGAGCTGTACCTAGACTCTGTTGACAGACGTGTTGGTCTAGTACTCGGTGCTGTGTATGATTGTGTCAATAGGACCGGGTCCTGGGATCAAGTCGTTGTAACTGATGGCGTTGTTTAACTTCATTTATTGCATTTGGTAGTGTTGCATGTTTAAATTTTAAATATTAATAAAATCAAAATGCATGCAGTAGTGAACATGTAGAGGGGGTGAATGGCGGTTGAATGTTGTTAGTACTTGGTACTCTGTCCCGTTTGTCACTTTTCAGTCCTCGTGCGGTGAGTTGTGTCAGTCATGTGATCATATTCCAGTTTGTAACTGTGTACGTGTGTATAAGGTGTGTAAGAACTTGTATCCAGTTCGTAACGTCTACAAAGTTAGTTAGCGTATGTTACTGCATCTCTATAGTCATTGTATCTTAGTTTCGTTTACTCATTTGTGTTAGTATGTAGCATAGCCAGTGTTTGTGTATATAGTGTATATCGTATTAAACTATTTTTAGTGTTAACGAGCCGTTGTTTAATTCAATCTTGTGTTTTGTCACCCGCTTGTATTTGTTCATTTAATATGTTGTTTGACGCACTGAATCACCCGTAAATGGCGTGCTCGTGTGTGTGTGTGTGTGTGTGTGTGTGTGTGTTTGTGTAATATTGAGATCGGTTAGTTCTATCGATATCTTTTACATAATTTTCTTAGCAAAGTAAATATATATATATTGAAAATTGAGAACTGTTTGTGGTTGCAGTTAAAGTATTGATGTTGATATTATGTTGGACGAATACGAGGCTACCTCTTGCGTTGAACATTAGCTGTTTGCAAAATAAGACTGGCGAATTAAGGGATTAGTCTCGTTAGTGGTGATATTCTTAACATTATAACATTTACGTCTACAGATTTTAGGTCTAAATATTAGAGTCATAATTTTGTAGCTCTAAGTCGCAATTAACCTAAAGAAACTTCCTCAGAGATTTCGTTCAAAAATTTATTCCAGAAATATCGAAATGATTAAATAATGACATTACATAACAAGAGTGAGCTTTATTCTCGCCACTATAGTCACGACTAGACATCACAATAAATAATTCTTGATTTTACAATTTATCTCAAACCCCAACTACACTTTTTAAATCATCTCTCAACACCATACAAATAAGAAGGTGCATAACCACCGTAACAATTCTATGAGTAAAACATTATTGAAAACCTAGAAAAATTAGAAAAAAAAGTGTTAGGTCTTTATGGGCTATGTTCTATGGTTCGGTCAGTTGGGTTTGATATTTGTGTAGTTGTATGTGTATTCTTGCCTACATGGTTTACCATCACCATTGAAGTAGTTGAGTCTGTATATTTCAGTGTAAAATATAACCAACTAGGCAAAGGTAGATAACCGAATGTTAGATAGTGTTAAAGCGGCTGAAACAAGAAAGACAATCTTAGTTTGACTTGTCCATCTGGTAGTAGAGATATTTAGTAACACGCTATTTAGACGGTTGATTGCTAACTCAACTCAACTTATAATTCAATACTTCAGCTTAAAACGAGCTTTCAAATTGATTTTCTAGCCCCTCTTGGCGCCCCTTTGGATTGGCGCCCGGGGCGGCCGCTCCTCCCGCCCTTCCCTAAGTACGCCTCTGAAAACAACAGTTCAGTGTACTTAAAGTGACTGTTATGAGAGCTTATGTCTGCTAAGGTGGTAATATATGTGCGCTACGTGTGGTAAGAAAATGCATACAATAAATTTAGGTCAGTTCATTCCCTTAACCTATACAAAAATTTTAGGTCAGTTAATTCTATTAAGCAATACAATAAGCTTAGGTCTGTTAATTCCCCTAACCAATCCTTATACATTCAGCCTAAATTTATTTATTATTGATGTTACAACATGTGATATATATATATATATATATATATATATATATATATATATATATATATATATAAAGCAGATTAAAATTGTTAACGTAACTTTATCGAGTATTTTGCTTGAAGAACATTAGTATGACAATTAATATCTGTGCTTATATTTTTTATGATAGAATTTTCAAATAATGTTTGTAAAATCTCATTTCTCTCGTTAGACACATGTTAGAATTTTAAAATAATGTTTGTATAATGTTATTTCTCCAGTTAGAGATATGTTAGAATTTTAAAATTATTTTTGTAAAATCTGATTTCTCTAGTTATTGATATTCTGAAAGGGAGGAAGAAACATTAGTCGTTCGTTCACAGACTACAACTTCAGTAGCTGAGACAAGCGGGAGCAGGTGATACGCCTTTGATAGTTTTTTAAACGGACTGCAGGTGTAAATGTAGACAGCGAGGTGGAAAGGCAATGACAAGTAAAGAGAAAAGCGTTGACGACATTTTAGCCACAGAAACAAACAAATTAGACAGTATGTAACTGGGGTTTGTAAGTCTGGGGTAGGTAACATACCCTAGGGACGTATTAGCGTTTGATAGTATAATATTTAATTTAATATCTTCTTCAGGCTTTGTAAAATAAATAGTTTTTTTTAAACTATCTTTAAAATTTAATTGCTGAATAACACGTTCATACAGTATAAGATATATCGATTGAAAAATCTAAGAAAAATTTAGAGATTATGGTATGTTTAATTCTTTTTACGGCCTTAAGTGGAGTGTTAGCTTGTGTTGTTTGAGTTCAGAAAGGCATAGATTGGCTAAGAAATATGTGTATTTTTAATCCGTGAGCAGTTTAAAGCTTACTAGAGAGAAAAAAAGGCTTAAAGTGAGTCTCAATATCTGTGTCAGCCCAAGCGAAAACATGTCATTATAATTAATTCATCCATCTATTGAGTCCACATATTGTATCACGTGTTAGTTAAATACGTGGCCATGACCGAGGAATAAATCTATTGATGTTTAACCTTTCATCGATAATCTCAGATGATCGTTTAGTACGTGTCCATCTGTTAGTCTTCCATTGTTAATAGAAAGAATAATTAAATGGCATAACATCACAAGGTAGGTCTTTTCAAATTTATAAATCTGACTTCTAATTAAATATTAATAACCAGAAGTTTTATGAATTTCAAAATACTTTATTAAATAACGTTATCATCAACAATAACTTGATCCCATGACCCCGTCCTATTGACACAATCATACACTGTGCTGATGACTAGACCAACACGTCTGTCTAAGGCATCAAGGTGAGGTTCTGTTAATACCGGAGCTAAGGGATCGGAGCTTAATGACGTCCTAAGTAGTTGACTGAGGCTGTCTGGTCCAGTGTAAAGTTTAACCAACTTGGCAAGGGTAGATAACCGAATTTTACAACACTGGCGTAATGAGGCTAAGATGGACAAGTAATCTTGTTTAGACTTGCCAAACCTGTTAGGATAAAAGAAATAGCACACAAATTTACGTTACTTCTACGTTAGTTATTTAACAGAAAACTCAACATTTTAAAGAGATATTGAAAATTGGCATGTAGCAAGAGGCGGGACCAGCTGGGGAATAGAGGATGGGTCGCTTTCATTTTTAAATTATTTAATAAAATGGGGAGATAATTTGGAAACTATCTCACTTGATACATTGTAACAAGACAGTCAATTTGACCGTTCGTGGTAAACAGCCGTATATACTTAGCATTCAATACAAGTGTATTGTCGTGTTATAAACTTAGGAAAGTCACCATGAAAAGATTATTTAGCCCATCTCAAGACAACGTGTCGTAAGCCATGATATACAGGGATACGTTTACCAGTCATCTCGGAGATTCTGAACGACGGAATAACCACAGTTAGCGCCCATTTTTTGTTCGTCCCCAGCAAGTGGTTGAAAATGTTTTACACAGTAAACATACATGATTTTTATTATTATGGAGTAGAGATAGGGGTTTTCGTGGCTGCGTCCTATCCAGATGGTATTATAGTTCACTGTTGATCTCACTATTTTTGTATTTGCACCTTAATTAATATAGGGGATGGTCAAAATTTCGGAATGGTATATGTGCACCTAGAATCCTAGGGATCTTATACAGAGATAACTACTGAAGAAGTCCGGGATAGGACCACTAATACGAATGGTCACTTTGAGAGTCTACTGAGCATAATCAAAACAAGAAAATAGAGTTGGTATGGACATATCACACGAACCAAAGGCCTCTCCAAAAATAATATTACAGGGCACTGTGCCAGGGGGGACAAGAACGGGAAGACGAAGACATCACTGGATGGATGACATTAAAGATTGGACTAATCAGAGCGGCAGAGAACCGAGATGGATGGCGGAGAATGATAAGGTGGTGCCCCAACGACCACAATAAGGGGTGATGATGATGATATGTACATCCAGGGTTCGCAAACAAATAAGCTTGGCTGGGACACCTTCTTTTTCGTTTGACATTTTAGTTTTCCTTTCGCACCCCCCCCCCCCTCCCCACAAATATTATCCCCCATAATAAAGTGTAGTTTCATGCTCCGTTAATAACTTTTGACTCACCCCCTACAGTTGGTCAAGTTTCATACCTCACTTACAGAGGTCAACTCACCCCTACTGTTGGTCAAGTTTCATACCTCACTTACAAGTTCAACACACCCCCTACAGTTGGTCAAGTTTCATGCCTCACTTACAAAGGTCAACTCACCCCTACTGTTGGTCAAGTTTCATGCCTCACTTACAAGTTCAACACACCCCTACTGTTGGTCAAGTTTCATGCCTCACTTACAAAGTTCTACTCACCCCCTACCGTTGTCATACAAAACAAAAAACGTGTCATCCCCAAACATTTCAAACTGCTCGTAATTATGGCGATCCAGGTTGCCTTAGAATAGAAATCAACAAGCGGATTAAAGTTTTTTAAATCTGAAAAACTGGTCAAGATGACTTATTACAAAACCTGATAAAAAAGCTATCCTACTCATTTTATTTTCTGTACCACTAACAAAAGCGTATCTAGGCTATTCTGTGGAAGTTACTTTAACCCGACTCATAATTGTACAAAATATTGTTAGTTGTATGTGCCCACGACTTACCCTGCAGGAAGTCAAATATTGACATGTCAATCATGTTTAACAGACCGTGACTGGTCACCCATTTCCGTCTGATCACCACATTGCAATAATTCTCATTTATTTCCCACTCAGCCTGTCGTGAGTAAAACAGCAATGTAACGTTCATGACGAACAACATGTAAGTTAAGTATATGCAATATTTGTAACTCTTTTGGCGACAAATATTTTAGAAATATTAATTTATAAACGTATGTATATATATATATATATATATATATATATATATATATATATATATATATATATATATATAAATGTAACGAGTCTATTTGCCTGTAGTGCCAAATGTTAACGAGTCTAACCACTCATTCTACACAACATCGACCACAGTATAGATACTCGAAGATGCAGGTTCACTATTGATCCTTTTATTACATGAATCAAAGAAATGCTTCACAATAATAGTCGGAATCAACTGACCCCCAACAGTCCTCACTAGTCTTCACATAACTGAATGCACATGTCCATCGTCCTTATTAACACAATACGGCTAACCCGTTCAATAACCAACTTGATACTGCCTCACTGACTGACTGATCGAGAGAGAGAGCCAGCTCAGCCGTCGCCTTCCTATATATCCCCTTCGTATTCGTAATCGTATTCGGTTCTATCATAATCGTAATCGTAATCGATTCTAATCGTTGCATCAGAATGTTAATTACGCCGCTTCTGTCGTACAGTCCGATTTAATAAGCCATCTGCATCCTGTCACATCAAAGTTGACAGACCGTATTGCGTTCTTATCGTATCGCTTCCCAAGATACTACGCCTTGGCTTTCTGATCGTTATCAGCCAACACCTGTGTTATTGCATCAGTCGTGTCAAAGTTGACAGCGCTGTACTGCGTTATGTCTCTGGTAACTTCCCCTAGTTACATCCACCCCTGCCTTTTTTTGTGTGTTATCAACCACAAACAACGCTTGGCAGGTGCAGTCCTTCAAAGTCAATCGCACCACCGTAAAAAAATGTATTGTTCCACTCACTGTCAATGTCGTCACATTCGTATAAGATTGACAGTTATCCCTATTTCACATATCAAATGTGTCTACATCATCTTCCTCAGACACAAAACAGTTCTAGAATTCACATCCACCTTTTTTCGTTTGGTGCCTTCACCAGTTCACTTTTATGACTTTTTGAACAGTCTGTTCTCATACCAGCGCGACCATGAAAGAATTGATGGTTGCTGACAAAAATTTTCGTATTCTTTCTGTTTCTCAAACTTCTCCGCGGACCACTTATCTGATGGTCTACTGTCTCTCTGTTTCTGGGAGGAACGGGATCCTCTTCGTTGCCGTTATCCTCCACTTGTGTATCGCTGTTGTTCTGTTGATGGTGACATGGTTCCGGGATGGGTATGTGAATTTCCGTTATAGTTTCCGGTTCCCTAATTGTCTTAGGTTTCCTTGTGTGTAACTGCTCTTCTTGACTATGACAATATTTCTTTAATTGAGCAATATTCGCCCACCGATCCGGTTTGGCGTGATCGATGGGTCTTATCTTAAAGGGGCCACCTGCTACTTTAGGCATCTCCACGACTTGCCATATCTCCTGTCCCCAGAGGTCGTGGATTTTGTTTCTGCCTAACGGGTGGCTACGCAGTAATACCCTGTCGTTCAGTTTGAGTGGCGGGTCCTTTGTCTGTACCGGCGGTTCCCTTCGCCGTGCTTCATGTTCTAGTCTTTCCTGTACTACCCTGTACATTTCTCTAATTCGTCTCATATGTTCATTCACATATTCCAGTGCGGTGTATGAGCCAGTCATACTCTCCTTTTTTCCTAGGAACAAGTCAAGAGGGAGTCGAGCCTCCCGTCCGAACAGCAACATGTGTGGCGAAAGGCCGGTTGTGGCATGGGGGGTGCAGTTGTATAGATATACCAACTCTGGGAGAAAATCAGGCCAACGTTTTTTCTGTTCAGGTTCTAGAGTACGCAGCAAATCATGCATGCTGCGGTTGAACCGCTCGCACTGTCCGTTTCCTTTCGGATTAAATGTGGTTGTTCTAGATTTGTTGATCCCGTAGTGGCTGCACAGTTGGTTAATTACTTCTGACTCGAAGGCCCTTCCTTGGTCAGAGTGTAATTGTCTTGGTATGCCATATTTGATGAACCAATGTTCTATTAAGACCTTTGCCACTGTTTTGGCCGTCTGATCTCGTGTGGGCACCGCCACAGTCCATTTGGTGAATACATCAGTCATTACCAACACATGTTCCGTCCCATCCGATGATTGCTCCAACGACGTAAAGTCCATAGCCACAATCTCTAGTGGTTTTGTCGCTAGTAGGTGTCCTGATGGCTGTCTCATTTTGACAACTGGCATTTTCGCATGCTGACACCTCACACAAGCCTCACAATGGCGTTTGACCTCCATTTCCATATTGGGCCAGTAGCACCTCCGTCGTAATATTTTGTGCGTCCTGTCCTGACCCTGGTGTCCTGCCCTGTCATGTGCCAACCTTAGCACTTCTTCTCGTAACTGTCCAGGCACCACCACCTGGTGTATTGTCCCGTCTATTTGGTCATGAATTCTCCGCATGAGAACACCATCCTTTATACTGAGACGGTCCCACTGACTCAGTAGTTTCTTTGTTTCCCGACCAAACTGTTCTCTTTCCCTTCTTCTTGGGAATTTTTGTTCCTGGACGTGTTTCAACAGCGGCTGTAAGCCACTATCCGTTCTCTGGGCATCTCTTATCTCTTTGTGATTAAGGCAATTAAAATCACTAATGTCCATATGTCCGGGCTCTGTGGAAATGTGCTCCACCCCGGTCTGCCCGTTTTGCATCACTTGCACCCCGTGAGGGATATCTGTTGACGCTCTGACCTCACATATTCCTGTCAGCGTTTCTTCCTCCTCGCCCGGTCTCTCGTAAGGATTCCTTGATAAGGCGTCCGCATTGCCATTGGACCGCCCCGGGCGATATTTTATCTCTAGGTCAAAGAGTGCCAATTCTGCTGCCCATCGCTGTTCGATGGATCCCAACTTTGCTGTCTTTAGGTGACTCAAGGGGTTATTGTCAGTGTATACCACACATTTAGCACCTAATAGATAGTCCCTGAATTTTTCAGTCACAGCCCATTTTAATGTCAAAAGTTCTAGTTTCATGGCGCTGTAATTTGTCATGTTCTTCTCTGATTCCTTCAGAGCTCGACTGGCATACGCAATAACCCTGAAACCTTGCTTTTGTTGTTGTGATAGCACAGCTCTCAGACCTTTAAAGCTGGCGTCAATTTCTAGCCGAAATGGTTTGTCAAAGTCTGCGTATCCTAATATCGGCGTCTCTGTCAAAGCCTTTTTCAAGAGCTTAAACGAGTTCAGGCATTCCTCAGTCCATAATTCACCTATCAGTTGTGTTTTACCTTTCTTTTTCTCCTTACTGTGTTTCTTTGTCATTTTGTTTACCAAGTCATGCAATGGTGCGGCAATTTTTGCAAAACCAGGTACAAATTTTCTATTTTCTTCTTCAGATAACAGACACTCTACTGTAGTTGTTGGCTGTTTCCATTCTTTAACAGCTGCAATTTTATCTGGGTCAGTGGCGATGCCATCCGACGAAATCACATAACCCAAAAAATGTACCGATTTCAGACCGAAGCAGCATTTGTCTGGGTTCAGCCTTACTCCTATGTCTCTAAGACGGAGAAACACTTGTTCTAATCTTTTTAGATGGTCCTCCCAAGTTTTTGAGTAAACTAGTATATCATCCAAGTACACCAACATTATTTGAAATAGAAAGTCACTCATAGCACTCTGCATTACTCGCTGGAATGTAGCAGGCGCATTAGTTAGACCAAACGGCATACGGGTCCACTCGTACAGTCCCAGTGGAGAAATAAATGCAGTCTTATGTTGATCGTTGGGGTGCATGGCCACTTGGTGGTAGCCGCTAGCCAAATCCAAGGTAGAAAAAAATCTTGCTCCCCCCAACGCATCAAGACATTCATCAATACGAGGCAAGGGGAATGCATCCCTTCTTGTGATATTGTTCAATTTCCGGTAATCACAACACAGTCTTATCTCCCCTGACTTCTTTTTTACCACTACTATCGGTGCCGCATACGGGCTCGTGCTGGTTGTAATAATTCCCTTTTTTAGTAGATCGTTCAGGTGTGCTTTCACCGCAGAGTAGTGACTTGGTGGTAATCTTCGATAAGGTTGCGCCACCGGCTTGTCTTGTAGTAAGGGTATCTGGTGTTTTATTACTTCCGTGTAACCCAAATCACCCTCGTACGAGGCAAATATATCCCTGTACTTATTCAGCAATTCATTTAGTTTTGGGTCCTCAGTTTCCGGGAATGTATATGATCGGCCATCCTCTTTCTTCACCTCGGCCGTCACATTGACCGACCTAATTGTTACTTCATTACTGCTGGTATTGCTCAGTTCGATGCACTGTGCCGACCTTTGTACCTCGACGTTCTGTGGTACTCCTACCAGAGTGTTAGGCGGTATAAAAATTTCCTCATCCAAAACATTTGCCACTAATCCTTGAACTAGTCCCTTCTCCGCTGATGTGTATGTCCGCAGTAACACGACGCCTGCCCTCAGTGCGGCGCCACATGGTTCTATCATCACATCACCATTCACGCTTCTGTCACCAATTTGTAATGTGATTGCCTTGACCGTGTTTGCCGGGACTGATATCCTTCCTCTGGTCTTGGCAAACCTGGCCAACTTGGATCCCCGACCTGGTGTGGTCGATCCGACAATATTTGTAAGAAATTCTGGCAACTGGCCAAGAATATTCATGCCCAACAGGCAAGGTATATTTGACACATTTGTCTCTAGGTTGTGTTTCGTAACGAACACCCCAACCTGCTTCAACCTATGTCCTGCCACCACGACATCCGCCAGAAAATAACCACAGTATGGAATGGTTAGTCCATTAGCTGCCGTCAGGCGCATGCATGTGTCAGACCTCAACCTATGGTCTTTTCCTTTCATCCATTTGGTGTAAAAATTTTCCGTAATTGTCGTCACCTGGGAGCCTGTATCCACAATTGCCTTCACCGCGATGTCCCCAATCGTAATCACCATTTCGGGACAGACTCCCATCATTTTGTTTCTTGGGCCATAACCTCGCCCCTCTGTAGCCTGACCCTGCCTTACATAAGGCGATCGTTTCCCCTGACAGTCCCGTGCCATATGTCCGGGTTGTGAACAGGACAAGCACATTGGTCGACCGTCAGCCGTCCACCGGAGCGATGGACCGGCGGGTCGCGGCTGTCCAACCCGTCCCTGTTTTGTCCCGTTTTTGCCCTGATTCTCAGCTGTTGACCTGCTTTCTAACCTCTCCAATCGTTGGTCAACCTTAACCAGGTGAGCCAACAGTTGAGCCATCATGGTTTCCATCGTGCCGGTCCCTGTGGGTGGGGATTGTTTCTGTTCCGGCACAGAGACTTTGTCTACCGAACAGTTCGATTGGTCCTCATCCTCGGACCTGCGGATCGCTGAGTTCCTGACCTGAAGGAAGGTCAACTGTGGGTCTTTGTAGACCTCTTCTTTCAAATATCTTCTTGCCATAGGGGTCGCCAGCCCCTCGATGAAATGGTCCCTCAGCAGGCGCACATCAATGTCGGGTATTTTGCCCTTTACCGCGACAAAGGCCCTGTTCATTCGGTGTGAATACTCCATCACACTCTCCGCCAGTCTCTGCTTTATACCTACAAACACCGATAGCAGTTGCGATCCCGACCGTCTCTCCCCAAAGGTCTCCATAATTAGATCCAGCACCTTATCTGGATCTGATTGGATGGTTTTATCGTGGCATTTGACCTCTGCCCTAACCGTCTCTCCTATACTGCCCATCAGCAGTCTTAATCTTTCCTCTGGTGACATGTATCTCGAGGCCCAGGCAGCCCTGACCTCTTCACTGAACCTGTTGGTTAAGGTTGGATCACCGTCCCCGTAAAATTTGTTGATGTGGGACTCACTGGGCAGGACCACAATATGGATCGGCTTTTTGTCCAAATTTTGTCCTGGTCCCTCTGGAGGCAAAGGGTCATCCTCACCGTTGCCTATCTCTGGGCTATCTTTATCTGGCTCAGATTGTTGGGCCAGCAGGAGTTTTTGTTCTTTTCTGATATTTAAAATACCACTCCTGCGTCTGTCATTCACATTAAGGAAAAATGTTGCAGCTATGCAGCAGATAGTGTTGCCCAACAGGGAGATCATGACACATTTCCAGTGTCTAAGAGTTCCATCTATATCTTGGTTGTCATCTTTGCCTAGTATTTGTCCCACAACCAAGTTGGAGATACCAATGCCAATTATCTGGATGCTGGTGGTGAGCCCCATAGCTGTCCCCAGGGTGGCTGGTGCTACAACTAGGGGTATACTGAGCCACATGCTTGCAGCAGCAAAAGAGCATGTGACACCAAGCCAGAATGATAATGAAAGGTGTCTCATCTCTGTTCTTTTCAATTTCCTCAATTCTGATTTCAGTCTTCCCTTTTATTTATTTCCTTCAAATAAAAAAGACCTTTCTTACCGTGTGTGTATGAAAAAATTTTCCTCGTTCCTCAATTTTCACTGTTCCTGAATGTCCGAATTCACACACACACTAAACACAGTTATGAACTAGGTTGACTATGGGTGCTTAAAGCGGCTGGTCTAATTGGATTCCTCTGCCGACGACCCCAAATGTAACGAGTCTATTTGCCTGTAGTGCCAAATGTTAACGAGTCTAACCACTCATTCTACACAACATCGACCACAGTATAGATACTCGAAGATGCAGGTTCACTATTGATCCTTTTATTACATGAATCAAAGAAATGCTTCACAATAATAGTCGGAATCAACTGACCCCCAACAGTCCTCACTAGTCTTCACATAACTGAATGCACATGTCCATCGTCCTTATTAACACAATACGGCTAACCCGTTCAATAACCAACTTGATACTGCCTCACTGACTGACTGATCGAGAGAGAGAGCCAGCTCAGCCGTCGCCTTCCTATATATCCCCTTCGTATTCGTAATCGTATTCGGTTCTATCATAATCGTAATCGTAATCGATTCTAATCGTTGCATCAGAATGTTAATTACGCCGCTTCTGTCGTACAGTCCGATTTAATAAGCCATCTGCATCCTGTCACATCAAAGTTGACAGACCGTATTGCGTTCTTATCGTATCGCTTCCCAAGATACTACGCCTTGGCTTTCTGATCGTTATCAGCCAACACCTGTGTTATTGCATCAGTCGTGTCAAAGTTGACAGCGCTGTACTGCGTTATGTCTCTGGTAACTTCCCCTAGTTACATATATATATATATATATATATATATATATATATATATATATATATATATATATATATATATATAATGTTCCCGAATTTTTATTTTATAAAATTATTGTTAAATTATTTCTCTCTGACCTTGAACTTGAAGTTCCAGAGAGAGTACTTTTGCTGGTACCTGTTTTCTTTCTGGTTGCTGGACTTTTGAAAGCCACGATCAGGTAGGTAGGCCGTCACCGAACTTTCCAGAAGGAATGGATCGCCACAGATCGAATGCTCCTGGGTGCAGTACTGTGAGCAGTTACCGAAAAAACAATGGTTGCCAGCTGTAAACAAAATGGTTGCCAAGTATAACCATACAAAGATGACAACTTAAAAAAAATGGTTTCCAACCATAAAAAATATTTGGGGAATACTATACTATAAAACTAAATGAAATTCGTGAGATTTGTAAATAAACGAAGGATAAAGTTTTATTATAAAATTTTGAATTGAATATAAGTCATAAAATAAATTAGCATTATTGTTTCTACTGCAGCAGTAAAGCGAAGTCTATTGTATTCACAAAATGTATTTTAAATATCTCTAGACCAAACAACAATTTTACTTTTACTATATAGCAATGTTATTGGTATGCTTTGTTTCTTATTTTTAGTTAATTTAAAAGCATTTTATTGTAACGGTGTTTGTTTCTTTGAATTAATATAACAAAACATGCAAAAAAAAGATACAACAAAAAGATACATCAAAAGATACAACAAAAAGATACAACAAAAACCTACAACAAAAACCTACAACAAAAACATACAACAAAAACCTACAACAAAAACCTACAACAAAAACATACAACAAATAGTGAAATAGATGTTACCTGGTGATATATGGGCCGTCTTGGTGATTTCTCTGTCCGCGAGTTCAATGATGTCACGTGTGATGTTGACCAGTCGACCAACAGTTGGAGGCACGCGATAAAAGGCTAGCGCTCTGTTCAACATGAACATATCAATGGGATATTGCCAAAACGGTTCATTCAAACATCTCGTATTAAATGTTCTGTTGCCGCTATAAAACTATTTAAATTCCGGAGAACATAAACGAAATGCAACACTTACTTATCCAAGTGAAACGCGGCTATCTCCGCCATGGGACGTTCAAAATCGTTGAAGAAAAAAGTATTTGGTGAAGTTTCTTGTTCTCTGGGAAATCTGAAGAACAATCAATAATTAAATGATCCATAGTGGAGTTCATGGCGCACATTAAGAAAGTGGCGCGGCATAAAGAATACAGTGAGCCAACATGAGAAAGTCACTGAGCAAAGTTAAACTGGTCCAATAGACAAAGTCTTGTTTCTTGTAAGAAAGGGTCAACACAAAAATAATCTTAAGATTTTTTAAACTTTTATAGTTTTTGTTTAGAGAGTTAAAAGCATTCACAGCTACACACGCTGTTGTGTCATGTGGTCCATGAGGTCAAGTTGTCTAGGTATCCAGGGTGGAACTAGAAAACAGTCACCCGATATATGTAAAGCAAACTGTAAAGGTGACAACTCAGAGACAACAATGTAAACACCACATTCATGCACTCGGTTGTTCTCACCTCATGGCCTTGAACATGCCTTTACCTCCATTGTCAAATGTCAGGGTCAAGGCTAGGTGTGACGTAGATGGTGCAGACTCTGTAGGAAGCAGACAACAGATGAACAAATTGTCAACTACAAAAGCTGCGTGAATTGCTAAATAATTATGCTAATTAACATATCGAAAGTAAATAGACACGTAGAGTTCAAATTTAATGAATATATAACAAAATAAAATATTTTTTTATTTCGAAAAAATCATAACGTTTGATTTTAACCATCAAAAGCTTGTCTGTAATTAAAAACAAATCTAATCAAACTGAGACATTGATCGCTGGCTGTCCCAGTCATTGCCTTACAGTGATCAACTATTTTGAAGACCACCTAAACGTACTTGTTCGTAGAATGGTTCTCTTGTTCAAATCACGGAGTAAGTCGTCCAGCATGCTGCCATCATCGGGGTCGTAGAGGTAGTGTTGATGGATTCCACCGTGGAACCGTTCCCATGTCGTGTTGCTGAAGAAAGACCAAGACACTACCATGAGATTTGGTGGGCTTTTAAACTAAGATTGGATTGTGGGACGGTCCAGGAGAATAGAATGAGATTTGGTGGGTTTTTAAAGAGACATTGTGCCAATCGATTTTGTTTATCTGAAAGTCCAAGATGAGATTTTGGTTGTTTTGTCAGTGAAACTGTGTAAATCGATTTGTTTTAATTGTATTCATCGGATAGCAAAGATTTTGTGTAGGTAATGCTACCTAAAAATATAATCACATATCGTGTGCAGAGAAACTGATCTGTGCAATAAATACCATTTTAAAAACTAACAAGGTTTCAATGCAGATGTTGAATATATTTTTTTTATATTGCTATGTATTGAGATCTATCTGCTTAAGTAATAAGCTTGTATTGATGCTAATTATTGCTCATACATTTTTATATTATTTATAGATTTGAAATATATAGTTTTATCCGAATATTACGTAATTATATTTCAATGTTTAAAATTTCGTGATTTTGATGCATCAAAAATGTAATTAATGATTTATTTTGCCAGCAAAGTGTACCTACCCTGTTATGTTGACAAATTTGGTTAATGGCGTTCCCTTTGTTCTGTTGAGCTTTAGTCGATTTATGAATGTCAAATAGGCCTCGCTGTCTTCCAGGTAAAAAATGGAATTCGTTGGTTTGTATTTGTTATAGAAGGTTTGCACCAGTTTCTCGGCGTTGTCGTGAGTGTGATTGGCCCTTGACCCCCGGGCAGGCTGGTACAACACATGCTAGTGTGATTTAACAGGATTAGAGCAGTAAGGATTAGTTGACTGTGGGAACACACCGTAGTGTATTTTTACAGAATTATTGCAGGGTTACTTGATTATGTCAGTTTGTTGTGATGTTATCTTACAAAAATATAGCTGGGTTAGGTGATTGTGTGAATAGATAGCGGTGTGATCTTACAAAATTAAAGAAAGCAGGCCCACTGATTGTGTGAGTCGATTGTGGTGTTACCTTACAGAATTACAGCAGGGTTAGGTTATTTTGAAAACAAACAGCGTATGCTTTACATGAACATTAGAATGCTATATTAAACACGTTGTGGTGAGATATAAAAGACTTGTATCAGGGTTGAATGATTGTATGAGAAGTGTGGATAATGTACATACAAACGTACCTGGTGTACTGTATTAACTGTATCGTGTTTAGCGTCCCACCTTAAGACTGAAGTTTGATTGATGTACCACTGTAATGAAATGAAAACACACCCAAAGATGCACAGAACTTGTCCGTAACAAATTCTACAATTTACCATCATTGCTCACAGTACCGCAGCCAGGAGCCTGAAATAATTTCAATATGACAAACTATTCTTAAGAACACTATTGACTTTTGATAACTGGGTTTAGCCAGTTGGTGCGAATAGTTTTAGGTAACATGTGCACGTCTTAACACTAAGTAGAATTTTGATACGATAAGTTCACTTGAGAAAACATTTTTTTTTAAACACACCAGACGTAACACCTTTCCCACGAGCACGCCACATAACAACACACCATCACGCCACGCACCAGCACGCCACACACCAGCACACCACATAACAACACACCATCACGCCACGCACCAGCACGCCACATAACAACACGCTACATAGCAACACACCACATAACAACACACCAACACGCCACATAACATCACGCCACACACAAACACGTCACACATAACAAGACAACAACATACAACCTTCCCACCAGCACACATCAACATCCAACATTCTCACCAGCCGATCACAACATACAACCACATCATAGTCTAGCCGCGCTTATCACATCCAAAGCTAACATAAGTGTCGAGTACCATCAAGCCAAGATAGAAACAACACGCAGAGCGCACTGCACAAAGACTAGTGGTGCAGTATTAACTCAAACAGTACAGGGGCGATCGAACAAGACCGATAAAGTTCTTTTGGGTCGATGTTTTTTTGCCATACTTTCCTTTAATACATTTTTAATCAGCTGAATTCTAGTTGAAAAATTGGATACATAACCAAAGCTGGGCTGGTTAAAGTTCATATTTTAATTCATTCATGATCTATCACTTACGCCTTCTTACCCCCAGCTGTTTCTCTCTTTCTTTCTCTCTTTATATATATATATATATATATATATATATATATATATATATATATATATATATATATATATATATATATATATAGGCCTATATATATATAGGCCTATATATATATATATATATATATATATATATATATATATATATATATATATATATATATATATATATATATATATATATATATATATATATATATAGGCGTATCCCCAAATGGCGTTCCATTTTGTGTAGAAAAAAATTCAGTTGAACAAATTTTCAGTTTAAAAAATTCAGTAAAAAAAAAATCAGTAAAAAAAGATTCAATAAAAATATGTTTCAGATCGGATTATATTTGGTGGTAGAAACCTGAGCCCGATGACTCAGCATTTTTTCCGATGACGTTGTCTTGTTTTTGCTTAGCCTTTATTTGTGTGTCCACTGGAATGAGTTCAACTCCAACAATTTCAACAGGGACGGGGAAGTGGATGTTCTGAAATAAACTCATGAATGCTATTCTTTCGCAAATTGTGTAAGTTGGTTTCGATTCACCTCATGGGCGAGCTATATATTATTTGTATGATATTATAAACTATTAGAAACATAATTAAACAGAAATCGATTGATAATATCTTCAAACATCTAGCCTACCGAAAACAAATCCTATACTATTAGCTGTTTTATTTAAATCAGCCACTAAGCTATTAGTCTCCCTACAGCTTCCGTTTTTGTTCACTTGACGTTTGATTGGTGTAAGAAAAAATATCTAACACTTTTCTACACTATTTTTTTAAAAGACAAACAAATTAAAATATGATAATCTGAATATAGTTACCCTTCAATATATCAATTTTTTTTTTTTTTAAATTAATTCAATTGTTTTATACATTTACATCAGTAATAATTATTTATTTGATAGATTTTACACAGCATCAAAGACATGAACATCAATTGCATATATAATAATCAAATGGAGAAAATAAAATGGCATAAGAACTAGACTAAAATAAGGTGTGCAAACTAGGTTTCTCTTGACTGCTTAGTTTACTGTGCTTTGTCCTTAGCTGAGGAGTCAAAAGTTCACAGTGTAGCCACACATGGACAGAAATAGAAGCGACCGTGGGAGAAGTGTCTCTGCAGTACACATACTGATCTATCATTCCAAAACTTTCCATGACATAAAATTGACCCTTGGCAAAGAGGGCACGCTACCTTGAAAAATCCGCCAGTCCGGTTGAGTGGGGGGGAAGTGTGTGTGTGTTGGGGGGGGGGGGGGGGTGAGGTGTGTATCTCTTTCTACCATTCAGGTTGTGCACTTTTAAAAACCTGGAAAACAGAAGACTGTTCTAATGTTAATTTACTTGAGGGCTGATCGAGTGATGTTTAGCTTGAGACTGTCGATATTAATTATGCATCTAGTTTATTTACTTCTTCTGTAGTTCAAATGTTAGTTTCCTGTAAAAGTAGGATGTCAATATTGTGTTTATTTATTATGTTGTTTATATAATGTGTTTGTCCCTAGCCCCCCCCCCCCCCTGATGTTCAATGTTGCCAGAGTTAGCATGAATTATTTGGGGTTTTCTTTCGAACATCTGTTTCTGGAGGGCTGGATGGTGGTGGTCTTTTAACGCCAAACTTTCCAGCCGCTGGTTTGCTATCCCGTTGGGCCCTGGTCACGACCCTTTGAGGTGGCTTTACTGTAGGTAATTGATTTTTACTTGAACTGATTGCTTGACTATATGACAGTTGACCTGATACCTTTGTTGCTGATATACTTTGTGAGCTTTTAATTTCCTTTAGCGGTTTCGTTGTGTTTTCTGAACTAGTGTTATCTTGAAGAATATCATTTATTGTTTCGTCGACAGCCTCCAAATTTTCTTGATTCCCATCTTTTTGAGACCCTGTTACTATGGAATTTATGATCGCTATTGTCTCCATGGCTTCGGCCTCTATGGTGGTTTCTGTTACGCTTTCGTTAACTTGCTGTGATGCTGCAGTAGTATGATGTGCTTCAGTTTGGCCATCTACTCCAAAGGCATCTTCTACCTCTCTATGCCTTGCTTCTCTAAGCATTTGATTTTGTCTTTCTCCGTCAACATCATAACTGTCTCAATGCTTTAAGAAATTTCTATTTTTACTTAGATGCTCCCTAACTTCTTCTTTATCATTTGCATCCCAAGGCTCAATTGCCCTGTACTGTCCGTCTACTAGCTGGACGCCGTCAAGAGCGCGAGTCCTCAAATGCTCACACATTTTAGGCAGGTGCCTGTCTGTGTTGCAGTGGCAACATTGCACCCTCCTCCCATTGAGGATTATAAGGACTCTGCTCTCCTTGTTGGCCTCATTTGTAAGTATAATATAGTGTGGGACACTCTCCACATCTTCTTTCTCCAGAGAGATGGTGAATTGGACCACATTTGATTGGTCTATTCTCTTAAATGTTGGTGTTGAGTCCTGACTGCTTATAGATTTCAGAATCGCCATTATATCATCGTCGCTTGTCTTGGAAGGCAGCCATTTCAGCATGCCCCTTTGCCCAGATTTATCGGCGTGGGTTATTGATATTCTCTGCACTCTCTATCTGGATGTTACCCCAGGTGGCAAATCTCTGTGAAATTCTTTTAGGTGCATTTTCTCATATAGTTCCTTTGATCTAATGGTGACATACCATTTACGCAGTGTCCCATAGTTATACAGACCTTCAAATTCAGCTGGTGATAGGCTACATAACATACATAGCTCTCTTTTTAGTTCGTCAGCTGTGAGGGTAGCTAAAGAAAAACCCTCTTCTATGAAAATCTCTAGAGTTTTTGGTGCATGTCCTGCCATGCCAAACTTAGGCAGGAATAGCCGTTTGATGTATTTTTCCGACATAGTTGTGCGTGAGGCCCACCCGGGGCCAGGCAACACACACAAGAAAGAAAAAAGGAAAAAAAGTACTTACAATGTATAAAATGTGAAGAAAAAAATAATAACACACACACACAAGGTTCCAAATGGAAATTAACACGAGTTTAAATAAGTAGAGATGAAATTAAATTATTCTAGTACTAGATCTAGTAGAAAGAATATCCGGAATAGAATTAATGCTCTGTTTAAAGTTCATTCAAGCGCAACTACCAATCAATATATCAATGTTATTAAAGAATATTTCCAGGATAGACCTATCTACCTAGAATTCAGGCATACATTATCTATAATTAATTTGTGTTCTACTGTTTTAGCTGCTTCGTTAGAATATAACACACATTAAAATAATAAACACCAATACAATTTTGATAAATCGTTAAAGATAGACTTTTTTTCATAGAGGTAATATTTGCTCCAGGTTCTTATTCTGTTGTATTAATGCACACATTGAAGAATAGGGGACTTAAAAAAACATTAAAAAAACTTTACCTTAAAACTTTCTTCTCTCCCTTAAACGCAATTTCTTTTAAAAGTTTGAAAACATGTCCATAGTCTATCCGTATCCATACAATATGTTTGCAGTGTTCAGATGTTACAAGCTTGACTAATCTCTGCTACTTTGTGAATTGGTTGTAGGGTATAAGATGGGGTTGTGGGGGGTGTAATGTTGGGAGGAGGGGGGATCCACAGATGGGGTAAAGTCCGGAGTCTTTGGGTTAGGAAATTCAGGAGTCCAGAGCACCGTGGTAAAATCTAACGTTGACCCCTGACCTTACCGCACCATCGAATCTGCAAGTCCAAGTTTGATGTCAAATGTCATCCCAAATCACAGTGTCTTAGTTACATAATAATATGCAGATATTTTATTGAATGTCGACAGTTTTTGACTTACTGTAAACTCAACCAGAGCAGACATGTAGCCTTCGATCTGTGGCTTAAGCGAAGATTTAAAAAAAAAATCTTGAATACATCAGCTCAGTTAGTTGACAAGCTGCGATCTTTATTGTTGACATGGGTGAGAAGAATTTTTTCTTATTTTTTACCTCCGCAGTGTGGCCAAATAAAATAAAGATTATTAATTTCTTTAAATTGAGAAATTGATTACATTTTTCAAAAATTATCTGCATAAATTGTAACGTTGAAATTTTAAAATATTGAAGTGAATTTAAATATTGAAGTAAACGTGTGTATGAATACTGTGTATTGTGTCATTAGTTAATCATGTTGTTGTGGGTGGTGGGGAGATGGGGTGGGGGTATGAATACAATCCGTATAACAAATAGTTTTTAATTTTTGAAGACAAATTATGCAGAAGATAATAAACCGGTCAAGTTAATGATTGACAGCTTCCGTCTCTCGTGTATGGCGCGCTAGTCTGTGAATTGTAAACAAAATGAAAGGTGTTCGCCGAACTTTAGATAGATTCGTATAATTAAAAGACTATCTTTTTTAAGCTATGTGCTGAAGATGCTCGATTGAAAACTTGGTGGAAATATCAAGAGATTGTTGGATCATGTGGAGAAATGTACGAATTCCATAGCTAACGTCTTCTCTCAAGTGTCAAAGTATTTTTGCCATTGTTAAGGCACGCTCATCTAAATTCTAAATCAATGTGTACACGTCAATAGATGTGTTGGTTGGTTGAACTTACACATGCTTGTCATCTCGCAAGATGTGTTGGTTGGTTAAACTTACACATGCTTGTCATCTCGCAAGATGTGTTGGTTGGTTAAACTTACACATGCTTGTCATCTCGCAAGATGTGTTGGTTGGTTGAACTTACACATGCTTGTCATCTCACAAGATGTGTTGGTTGGTTGAACTTACACATGCTTGTCATCTCGCAAGATGTGTTGGTTGGTAAGACTTACACATGCTTGTCATCTCACAAGATGTGTTGGTTGGTTGAACTTACACACGCTTGTCATCTCGCAAGATGTGTTGATTGGTTAAACTTACACACGCTTGTCATCTCGGAAACTGGACGTAATATTTGTTTAGTGTTTAACATTCGGGTATCAACACAGTGCCTTGCATCAACTCAAGCAGAAAATGTCCTTGACAACAGTGTAACGCTTGCCCCACGATGTTATCCCATTCCATTCCCAGGGTATGCCCTATCCATCCCCATTTATAGGCTATAATATCCCCGTCTATTGGCTGTTGTTTGGTGTTTTGCCGCAGATCTTCGTTTAAAATTGTGTCTGGCCATCTTATCTTGAGGATCTGTCGTAAACATATCTTTGTGGACGACTGTACTCTGTCTGTAATTGACTTGGCAACCCTCCCACGTATTCTGGGAGACAGAAATTCTCGGTACAAAAGTTAAATTATTTCTAATCGAATCGATATTGCCGTGGTCAACGTGACAACAACCTAATCGATACCAAGTGAGCTTCTAAAATAATTTCATCCACGATACCTAGTAAACCTCTGTGATCATTTCATCCAAGTGAAACCTTGAAACCAAATCACATCGATACCCAGTTGACTAATGTTGGCCAAATCTGAAACGTCTACACTTTAGGGTTAAAAACATCCTCCTATATTATCTCTACTAATATTACCAAAAGTAAAAGTCTTGGTTGGTCATTCTATTTCAGTGACGTTATACAGTTCAAAATAAATGTTATATTTCTTTTTATTAAAGACGTAACTACATTTATAGGCTAAATACAATTTAACGTATTTGATTAAATTCCCATAAAAATTTAGTTAAAAAATTTATTTTATGTTCAAACGATATACTTATGTTCTTCTAATGGCCATTGGCTAATTTTTAAACGGTAGTTACCATTAGAGCGAAACGTTAAGAACAAAGTTTTAAAATCTCTATTGATTCAAGTCTCGCTAGCCTGGCGACATGTGTGTGACTTGGAAGGTGTTTTATGTGTTGTCTGTCTCCACGTGAAAGCTTGCTGAAAGTCTCACATGACACACACAATCGTATACAAGGTTTTTAAAACTGTTCTATAACATTTTTGTTCCAACAATTGAGTCTAGAAAACAAAATTTAATATAATGTATTTGAATGAAAATAACGAGTTCAAGAACAAACAAGAATAGGATTGTATTTGTAGGACTGGTAGTCAATAAATAACGGTAGAACATAATTAATCTACGGTTGGAGGTAAATTAATGGTCATTATATATCACATTACTGTACAGGCATCGATGATTTAATATGTAATGTATAAGTTAAGCAAGGAATGTTGTGTGACCATACGTCTTAAGTATATATATATATATATATATATATATATATATATATATATATATATATATATATATATATATATATATATATATATATATATATATATATATATATAGGCAATATATTTACACATAAGTTTATACATTTTATTTACATACATTCATATATACACGCGCACCTGTCCATCGTTTATCTATACAAATATACGCAGCAATGTAGCATATGTTACATAATCAAACATATTTTTATATGTTTATGTTATTTATATTCAAATATTTATAAATGTAAATATGTGTATACATGTATATATATATATATATATATATATATATATATATATATATATATATATATATATATATATATATATATATATATATATATATATATATATATATATATATATATGTATGTATATATATATATATATATATATATATATATGCATATAGTCTTATATAATTATTGCATAATTAAATTTATCTCTGCTGACTGGTTTGATGTAGTCTTTGGCGTTGTCTTAAAGAAATAGTTCACGTGACCTAAACGTAACATTCATACAACACCATCATCAACAATAACTTGATCCCAGGATCCCGTCCTATTGACACAGTCATACACTGTGCTGATGACTAGACCAACACGTCTGTCTAAGGCGTCAAGGTGAGGTTCTGTTAATATCGGAGCTAAGGGGTCGGAGCTTAATGACATCCTAAGTAGTTGACTGAGGCTGTCTGGTCCAGTGTAAAGTTTAACCAACTTGGCAAGGGTAGATAACCGAACTTTACAACACTGACGAACTGGAGCCAAGCATGAAATACAATCGTACTTAGATCGGCCAAACCTGTTGACGGACCAAAATGTGGGGATGAAAAAACGTTTTAAAATATCTTTAACGAATTATTGTTTTACTTTAAAAATGATGATAATAATGATGATGATAAGGATTAAATTAGTAAGATCATAAGTTGAGTTTAAAGATAATTCTTCCGTGCGTCTGGTACAAATCAGTGGTATGGATATCAAAGATTGTTTAAGATAGTTTTTGTAGCATAAAGTTATGTTGTGTTGTTTTATGCTGTCTCGTGTATCTATACCCATACAACAAATGTTTATTTGTCCGTGTTTGCCACATTATGCTTATACTGTGACAGATATTGTGTCAAGTATTTTTTAAAACTTGTATGTGACACAAGTCTAAAAATTAACAACTTTCAAAACATGAGCTATACATTTAACTCCTATTTCATTAGCATTATGTGTCGCCGGCTATTCTAAGTGTTCTCCCCCTCTTTGCATCAAACCTGGGTCAGAGTTCAAACCACACCCAGCTGGCTAATTTCCAGAAAGTGATTAGGGCTGAATAGAAAGACTGACTCACCCTCTGCCGTTGTCGTAGTGCACTAAGAAGGTGTCGTTACCAAACATCTTAAACGTTTCTATGTGGTGTCTGTCGAGGTTACCTGGGGAGGGTTTGTTCTATTGTCAATTTAAACAACACACAAACACACACACACATATATATATATATATATATATATATGCATAAATGATATATATAAATATATGATATATATATATATACACACACACATATATATATATATATATATATATATATATATATATATATATATATATATATATATATATATATGATATAAATATATCATGGCTTACCCTGCAGAAAGTCAAACACCGCGAGGTCCGTCAAGTCCAGTATAAAACGACCTTGGTACTCAGGTACTGGCTTGACATCCGTCTCACAAAACGACTCGTTGTATTCCCATTTTACCTGTGGAAATAAAGTTGTATTCCCATTTTACCTGGGGAAAATAAAATTGTATTCCCATTTTACCTAGGGAAATAAAGTTGTATTCCCATTTTACCTGGGAACATAAAGTTTATTATTTCTAATATACCCAGAGGAATGCACAGTGCCATACCTTCGTATTCATGTCATACGATCGAACATAAGGATTCAAAAAGGAGTTTCCTGATTCTTCCAGGCTCCTGTTGGGCAGGAAAGCAGAGACGGAGCCCTCGATGAGGTGGGGGTTCCCACAGAGCGCGTGGCCCTGTGTGCAGTAGTCCTTACAGCTGCCGAAGAAGCAGGAGTTACCAACTGCAAACAACAACATTAAAATAGTTGGGGCCTCTGGTGATCATCGATTCACTCATTTCTATACATAGTAAATTTAACTACACACATATTTCTTTCGGCCAATAAAAATAGACACTTATCGAATTAAAACCTAATCATATAATATTTAAACCAAGAAACATTCGTTTTAAGTATTACCATTTTAAACCTTATAGTCCATGGAGCAGGTGAAGTAGAGTTCATCTGTTTCAGAGAACTTATCAAATGAAGAGATAGTGTGGTCAGCACTATGCCCGGTGACCTTTCATCCAGGTACCCTACATAGCTGGGTGGACCCAATGACGTTTTACGTACTCCTGCCTTGAGCCCGAACTCGAAACTTACGGTTAACAGTCAAAAGCTCTACCGATAGACCAAACCGTCCCAAAACATCAGGTATGGAAGATTACTAAATATATTGTTTAAAGCTAAAAATATAGTTGCTTTCTTTCAACTCCAATCGAAGCACATGAAGACTGTTGAGGTACCATCAAATTTTTCAATACCTGGAGATCGGTGAGCTACCAACAGATTATAGACTTACCTGGAGATCGATGAGCTACCAACAGATTATAGACTTACCTGGAGATCGATGAGCTACCTATAGATTGTAGACTTACCTTGAGATGGCTGAGTTACCAACAGATTGTAGACTTACCTGGAGATTGCTGAGCTACCAATAGATTGTAGACTTACCTTGAGATGGCTGAGTTACCAATAGATTGTAGACTTACCTGGAGATCGATGAGCTACCAATAGATTGTAGACTTACCTGGAGATCGATGAGCCGTCGGCTTGATGTTTTCGTCCCCCACCATGATCAGGTCACGTGTGATGTTGACGACCCTCCCGACGGTCGGGGGGACACGGTAGAAAGCCAGAACCCTGCCCCGAAAATTTCACGTTAGCAAATAGACAACTTTATTAGATAAACCTTACAGGACACTAGTACAAAAATTTCACGTTAGCAAATGTACAACTTTATGAGATACACCTTACAGGACCCAAGTACAAATATTTCACATTACTCAAACAACAAAATGATGCACACTTTTAAAGTATCCTTTCCCTGAATATCAGGCTAATAAATAAAAAGCTTTATTACAGATAAACCTCCCACAACCACTAATGTCATGTCAGTAGATTATAAAGATGGTGTAGCATTAAAGATAGACATGTCTAATGAGTTCATGCTCTTGTCAGTCTAACTGTAAACTATGTTTGTCACATGGGGTTAACAAGCTTGACAAAATAAACAACTTTGGTACATTTTAGCAATATTGAACAAAAACAACATACATATTAGTCAAAACGAACAACATTGGTACATTTTGGCAACATTGAACATGAAAACAACGTACTTGTCAAGATGAAAAGCTGCTATCTCGGCTGTTGGTCTCTCAATGTCACTGAAGTAAAAATGGTTGGGTGATGCCTCTTGCTCTTTTGGAGTTCTAAGTATGAAAAACGGATTAAAATTTCTTAAGGTGTGTCCACTTTAGACGCAGCTATTGGCTAATGATCTCAAAGTTAAACAGAAATTACTTGAATCGTATACACTTAGGACGGAGCTAATGTCTAAAGTATAAAAAAAATGGCGGAGCAGATTTGGCTGAGCACAGTTTGTATTATGACAAACCGTCAAACAAAATTTATTTAGGTTTCACCGTCCGGCTTCGGTACATCGTAAAGGCAACTACGGAATTGATCTGGTCGTGTTTTGTGCACAGTCAGCCTATAGTAGGGAGACTAAAGACTGAGGGACGGTTTAAGGCTGAGACCTTCACAATGATTGGGTTAAGTATTCATTTCTCTCCCCACATGAGGTGGGTGTATACATGAGGCTTCACATCTATCAACATCATGGTATTGTTATTAACACGATGCTGTAGTTACTTCATCAAACACGGCGGTGAAGTATCAACATCAGCGGCACAGCAACCACCACAGCAGCAAATTTATCAACATATCGTTTTTCTAATCAATATGGTGATAGATATATTTATAAAGAGAAAAAGCAATTTCATTTTTAGAAATCACAGTTCAACAGCAAAGCTGTGGGTATACAGGGTTCAAAAAACGTATTGACGTCAGGCTTTCAAGCATTTTTGTGTCACAAATAACTGTATTGATTAGGTTAACTTCACTCTAGTATCGCCAGCTGACTGTAAGCTAAGCTAATCGGTGAAATAAAAATGTATTCTCTTATGCCATTGAAAGGCTTAAAAAACTTAGAACTTAAATTCACATAACTTGGAAACAAAAATAATTTATCGCTCATCAATAATATTAACGAAAATATATACCATATGTGCATCGAAAGAACACTTATGCTAAATACACTTACACAACCTTACATAAAAATTATACATACACATGACGAATTTATCAAATATACTTACATAATTTCGAATATACAAAATACACTTATATGACTCAATTATAACAGATACAATTACATACAACAATTATACTAAATACACTTACACTATTCGATTATCCCAAATATATTTACACTATTCGATTATACCACATACGCTTACATAACTTGATTATACCTTGTCCTAAACACCACCAAACTATCACAAGCTTAGAGTATGTATTAGATATCAAATGCAGCTCTCCACACCATCATACACTTTCAGAGACGATGTTCCATTAACCAACGATAATGTTGGACTTCCAAACCCAAGTGTACTTTTACCGAATTACAGACACCGTGCTTATACCGAGTAGAGACTTGCATTACAAACCCACCGTGCTTATACCAAGTAGAGACTTGCATTACAAACCCACCGTACTTATACCAAGTAGAGACTTACATTACAAACCCACCGTGCTTATATCAAGTAGAGACTTACATTTATTTTAACAAGACCCATGAAGCACGTGACACATAACCTTTCACCCTAAAGACCCACCCACATGGGGATCTATCACTGAGATCATTTGTCCTGGGATATTTTGTCTGAGATCATTTGTCCTGGGATATTTTGTCTGAGATCATTTGTCCTGTGATATTTTGTCTGAGATCATTTGTCCTGTGATATTTTGTCTGAGATCATTTGTCCTGGGATATTTTGTCTGAGATCATTTGTCCTGGGATATTTTGTCTGAGATCATTTGTCCTAGGATAATTTGTCTGGGATATTTTGTCTGAGATCATTTGTCCTGAGATCATTTGTCTGGGATATTTTGTCTGAGATAATTTGTCCTGAGATCATTTGTCCTGAGATCATTTGTCTGGGATATTTTGTCTGAGATAATTTGTTCCTGAGATCGTTTAACTTGAGATATTTTGTCTGGGATATTTTGTCTGAGATCATTTGTCCTGAGATCATTTGTCAGGGATATTTTGTCTGAGATCATTTGTCCTGAGATCATTTGTCAGGGATATTTCGTCTGAGATCATTTGTCCTGAGATCATTTGTCAGGGATATTTTGTCTGAGATCATTTGTCCTGAGATCATTTGTCAGGGATATTTCGTCTGAGATCATTTGTCCTGAGATCATTTGTCAGGGATATTTTGTCTGAGATCATTTGTCCTGAGATCATTTGTCTGGGATATTTTGTCTGAGATCATTTGTCCTGAGATCATTTGTCTGGGATATTTTGTCTGAGATCATTTGTCCTGAGATCATTTGTCTGGGATATTTTGTCTGAGATCATTTGTCCTGAGATCATTTGTCTGGGATATTTTGTCTGAGATCATTTGTCCTGAGATCATTTGTCCTGAGATCATTTGTCTGGGATATTTTGTCTGAGATCATTTGTCCTGAGATCATTTGTCTGGGATATTTTGTCTGAGATCATTTGTCCTGAGATCATTTGTCCTGAGATCATTTGTCCTGTCGCCCGCCCTACAGTATCAGTGACAGGAGGACCTCTCGCCCTCCAGAACCACCCAGGTGGGAACCTATTGCCCTCCAGTATGACCTACGTTTGCACCTTTCACCCACCAGACGAAGTTGTGGCAGAAGCACCCACCTGATAGCCTTGAAGATGCCTTTGGATCCATCCTCAAAGACCAGCGTAATGGCGAGATGGGAGCTGTAAGGCGTGCTTCCTGTCACAGAAGATAACGTCATTGGATAAGTTGATTTTAACATCATTTTCTGGCTACGTCATTGGATAAGTTGATTTTAAAATCATTTTCTGGCTACGGCATTGGATAAGTTGATTTTAACATCATTTTCTGGCTACGTCATTGGATAAGTTGATTTTAAAATCATTTTCTGGCTACGGCATTGGATAAGTTGATTTTAAAATCATGTTCTGGCTACGGCATTGGATAAGTTGATTTTAAAATCATTTTCTGGCTACGGCATTGGATAAGTTGATTTTAAAATCAATTTCTGGCTACGGCATTGGATAAGTTGATTTTAACATCATTTTCTGGCTACGTCATTGGATAAGTTGATTTTAAAATCATTTTCTGGCTACGGCATTGGATAAGTTGATTTTAAAATCATGTTCTGGCTACGGCATTGGATAAGTTGATTTTAAAATCATTTTCTGGCTACGGCATTGGATAAGTTGATTTTAAAATCATGTTCTGGCTACGGCATTGGATAAGTTGATTTTAAAATCATTTTCTGGCTACGGCATTGGATAAGTTGATTTTAAAATCAATTTCTGGCTACGGCATTGGATAAGTTGATTTTAACATCATTTTCTGGCTACGTCATTGGATAAGTTGATTTTAAAATCATTTTCTGGCTACGGCATTGGATAAGTTGATTTTAAAATCATGTTCTGGCTACGGCATTGGATAAGTTGATTTTAAAATCATTTTCTGGCTACGGCATTGGATAAGTTGATTTTAAAATCAATTTCTGGCTACGGCATTGGATAAGTTGATTTTTAAAAATCATTTTCTGGCTACGGCATTGGATAAGTTGATTTTAAAATCATGTTCTGGCTACGGCATTGGATAAGTTGATTTTAAAATCAATTTCTGGCTACGGCATTGGATAAGTTGATTTTTAAAAATCATTTTCTGACTACGACAGGACAGCTGGTTCAGAAACGGAGAAACAGACTCGAAATCAGAAAAATGAATGGGTTAGGGTGGGGGAAAAACCCGAGAAAATGTAAACAGAGAAACCAACTCCCAACTAGAGAAACGGACGTGTATGTTGTGATGTGAAAAAAGAAGACCTACTTGCAGCAACAATTGTTTTCTTGTTCAGATCTCTCAACAAGTCAGTCAGGTCTGTGCCGCTATCAGGGTCGTACAGGTAGTACTGGTTGATTCCCCTGTGGAACCTTTCCCAGGACCTGTTCCTGTAGACAGACAGCAGTTCAACTTTTTTTTTTATCCAGCCCTCGCGGTAAAGCTTTTTTTTTTAAATCTAGGACTCTCTGTTATTTATTTGTTTTGTTTTGATATAGCGATCGTTTTCGTCGTGAGAAAGTAAACTAAACTGACTGACAGAAGCATGCAGACAGACAGGCATCAGACAGCAGTGGCGTAGGTAGGGGGGTTAGGGGGGTCATACCCCCCCCCCCCCCCCCGCCCATTTACCCTTCTGTTAAAAAAAATTACTATTATAATACCACTGTTACTTGTTTAAATATATTTCTGAATCAGTACATAAGTATAATTGTATATGTATGTTTAGAACAGTCATCTAAACACTGAAGCTATGTTCACTCTGAGCTGGATATTCTCCCCCCCCCTCCCCATCTCACCACCTAAAACGGGACAGGCCGTAATTGTGTAGAGTGACATTAATGTCAAACCTAGGTATACGCTGGGTAGAATAATTGACCTAAAGTGACCGGACAGTGGTGAATTAAGTTGAACCCCCCCTCCCCCACCAACCCGCCCAGAACTGATCTGTTAAGTACATTTGGGAAAACGCGTAATGAGGTACCAAAGTACCATGCCGCCAAAATCATAGCTTTTGAAGCAGGTAAAACTATGTAAATATTGTTTTTGCAATTAACAGTAAAGAGGTGTGTGATCAATAAAGTGATCTAACCCATACCTTATCCTATGTTAAAAATTTGATCATTAAAGAACACAAAAAAACAGTAGCTAGTTGAAGAATGAATTATCTGAACTGCAAGACCAATGTCAAAGTTATATGAAGGCTATCATTCAGAATGTTTCACATATTACATTTAGCTTCTCACTTTGTTTGAAAACAATGGTTTTATACCAACTCTGATTTCAAAATCTTTCATTATGCTGTATGATTTTAGCATTTATGACAATAATATATTTAATTCTGATTATAGATAACACATTTTTGTAAAAACGAATAGTGTTAAACTACTATATTACATACTAAAGTAATTATTGATCTGCTTTGACATTTACAATTAAATTTGTAGAAATATACATATGTTTATTGAGAGAGTGATCGTTTCCCTTAGTTCGCTTGTCTTAATTATTATTCTACGAATCATCATGTCAATTTTTTTTACAAGGATTACAAAACAGATTGTGTTGCGTTCATTGTTTTTGGTAGTATTGTGTGGATATATTGTTTGTTCTTTGTTGTTGTTTAGAGTGATAAATTGTTTTGTTTTGTCGGCCTACATTGTGGTTTTTTTTCTAATTGCTCCAGAGTACTACTTTCAACTTATTTTACTTCATTGTGACGCAATGACATACAACTTAAATATATATATATATATATATATATATATATATATATATATATATATATATATATATATATATATATATATATATATATATATATATATATATATATATATATATTGATGACAATTTTTTACCCTCCCCCCCCCATGATGAGACGATCCTGGCTACGCCAATCTCAGATAGACAGGAAGAGAGAACTAATATTTACCCCGTGATGTTGAAGTATTTCGTCAAGTAGTCCCCACGTTTCCGTAAGATCTTCAGCCTGCCCATGAAATGGCTGTAGGTCTCGGTGTCGTTCAACTGATACACAGACCTGGGTTTGGACAGCCGAGTCTGGAACTGTTTGACCAGCTTGTCCGCCAGGGGTGACCGGTGCCTTGTGACGTGTGACCCACTCCTCATGACGTGTAGGCTGATGTTGCCCGTCCCATTGAGCTACCACACACAAAAATTAAAGCAAAATATAATGATAGAAACAATGCCTTAAAATACAATTTTCTGTCGAACCTGTAAAATTATAAAACGCTGTTCACATTTTTAGAAAATCGAAGCTTGTGGTTCATTTTCATAAACTTTCAGATGTGCTCAGTTTGTTAGGACAGTGGTTCTTACATTCACAAACAGGCTGTACAATAAACAACGAAGCAACTCGGTCACAGAAAAAACATTGAGAATAAACTTTAACTTTACCAGTTGCCTATTAAAATAATCAAGAATCACCTTTACTTTAACTTTACCTGTTGCCCATAAAAAGAATCAAGAATCACCTTTACTTTAACTTTACCTGTTGCCCATTAAAATAATCAAGAATCACCTTTACTTTAACTTTACCTGTTACCCATAAAAAGAATCAAGAATCACCTTTACTTTAACTTTACTTGTTGCCCATTAAAATAATCAAGAATCACCTTTACTTTAACTTTACCAGTTGCATATTAAAATAATCAAGAATCACCTTTACTTTAACTTTACCAGTTGCCCATAAAAAGAATCAAGAATCACCTTTACTTTAACTTTACCTGTTGCCCATAAAAATAATCAAGAATCACCTTTACTTTAACTTTACCTGTTGCCTATTGAAATAATCAAGAATCACCTTTACTTTAACGTTACCAGTTGCCCATTAAAATAATCAAGAATCACCTTTACTTTAACTTTACCAGTTGCCCATTAAAATAATCAAGAATCACCTTTACTTTAACTTTACCAGTTGCTTATTAAAATAATCAAGAATCACCTTTACTTTAACTTTACCTGTTGCCCATTAAAAGAATCAAGAATCACCTTTACTTTAACTTTACCTGTTGCCTATTGAAATAATCAAGAATCACCTTTACTTTAACGTTACCAGTTGCCCATTAAAATAATCAAGAATCACCTTTACTTTAATTTACCTGCGTTAAAGAAAGCGAGAAACCCACTAATTTAACCTGATGCCCACTTAACCAATCAGGAATCACCTTGACCTTACCTGATGCCCACCTAACCAATCAGGGATCACCTTGACCTTACCTGATGCCCACCTAACCAATCAGGTATCACCTTGACCTTACCTGTCGTCCACTGATTACACCGTTGCTAAACATCCTGACGTAGTAGTTGCCTCCATGCTGCAGGTACAACTGGAACGTGAGGAACAAGCAGACGACCAAAAACAGCGCCCTCCAGCGGCACTTCTGTAGCAGCAGAACTCTGGTTACCATCGTTACTTGCATCAAAGCTTGTCCTAGATCACAAAGGCAGTGTAACTAAACGAAAAAGTAGCACGTCAACTCAATACGAAAGTCACAACTTACATATGAAACTAGTTTAGTGAATTTAGTATAAAAATCTCCACTAAATAAATGAAACAAATTTCGACCGTGAATTTCCACACTTGCTATCGTGAAAGCCGTAAGGTGTCGCCTAATCGCTAAATAGATGTTCAAAGCTGCGCCAAATATTTTTTTTAAATTGTGATGTCTATAAACAGTTTTAAAATCTATTATGAGCGGAAAATTTTGACACTCAAGAATTTAACATTTGACACGTTCTAAAATTATTTTAACCGTCTACACAAAAATTCTAAACGTAATTTATTAGAAAAAACTTACCAAATAATCTTGTAGCTGTTCAATGTCAAGCATACGACTGACATATATTCACCTCTGACTTCAGCATGTAACAATACCTTTCGCGTTTTCTTTTTTTATATTTTCCTTGGTAACATCGATCTAGATGTGTGACGTCAGAATTTTTTTCAACAACTTTTTTTAGCACGTGCGCCATCATCTTGAGTTTTAAATGTATAAATATTTTTGAAGATTTTAAAAATTTATTTTTATAATTATAAAAATAATATTTCGATTGGTTAGGGTAGGGTGGGTGTACTGGAAACAGTTTGTGTGTGTGTGTGGGGGGGGGGGTGTGGGAGTGGGAGGTGTACAAATCACAAGCAGCAGATGGTGGAGAATTTAAAAAAAAAAAAAATAACGCAAACTGAACGTATAGAACGACCAATGATACATTGGAATAACTGGGGCGTGGGGGAGGGGTAGAGAGAGACACGCACGGAAGTTGGGGGGGTGGTGGTAAAACCTACTTTCTGGCTGAGGTCGTGCTAGCTCTACACGTGTATGTGTGTATGTCAAAAGTGCAAGCGTCAGAAAACATACCTTTTGTTATAAACTCATCCATCTATTCACATTCATCCATTCATTCAAATTTATCCATTCATCCAAAACCAACTATGTATCAGAACGTTTAACAATTTTAAAAACTAGAAAGAACATTTAAAAAATAATACGTTATGGAAATAGATGAACCTTTTTAAAAAGTAGAACCAATCTTTAATTATAAGATTCTAGGCGTTCTTAAAATCATAGTACCATATACGTAACCCTTTTACTAATACTAGAGATAAAACAACGGCTAGCTTAACAGAGGAGGTGCAAGAATGCTATCCTGATAGTTTCAAGTTTAGTTTCTAGACCCGGGTATGTAAGATGTCCCTGAACCCACCTAGCCCTATGGGTGTGTATATTACATTAGGAAAATCAAAGGCGTCTGTGCATAGCACATCACATTGTATCTCATATGCTGAGGTAACTGAAACATATATACTCTACTTCATATTGCCCTATCAATCAACATGTCCTTAAACTGTTTATAGCCCCCTGCCGTGCGAGATATCTTGTGACGATATTTGTAACTGAATTAATTGGTCGTAAAAATAAAGAATAAAATCGCCAATTGTGAACGATTTGTTAAATCGCTCATATAAGAGATTAAAACTAAATAAGTAAAATATTGATTTTGGACCAATTGAAATAGTCCACGCCTCGCTACACACTACGATCTCAGGATTAAAATATTGGCGCACACTTTCTAAACAGGTTTTTTTCTTTTATTAAGAGAAACTTTAGAATTATTTGAGCCATATAAAGTGGGGAAAAGTAAATAGAACTGTGTAGCATATGTCGAGTAGTTTTAATGATTTCATTAATTTCATTATCTTTAGTTATTTCTATGATCTTACAATTGTTTGAAAATGATATTTGTGCCAACATGTACCAAAGTATTTACTCAAACGACCAGAAAGAAGCGTACATTTTTGTGTGCATCTATTAGTATAAAAATCCTATGAAAAGTAACAATTTAGGAAGTTTGCTCCCTTACAAATAGCCCGTATAAAGCCATCCGTAGGCCTACTCATTTTTAACATTTCACGATTTTCTCAAAGTGAAAAAAAGTATTTCACCCTTAGAGTTCACCCTCCTGTATTCCAAAGAAGCTTCTGAATAATTTGAAACTCGTTGTTCACGTTTATTATGTTTATAAAAGGAAATACGGTATCTGGTAAGTATTCATGGCCTATCGACGTTTTCCCGAAAACAACACTGTTTTTTACTGTTTCCCCATTGGATATGTCTACGAACTCAATAAACATCAGGGGTGTGACTTTAAAATTTATTTTTCGATATATATATATATATATATATATATATATATATATATATATATATATATATATATATATATATATATATATATATATATATATATATATATATATATATATATATAATTTCTGTGCCAGTGTTTTGTCTTAATGGGTGGACATTAAGGACAGATGAGAATCTGGCACGCAAGAAAATGTTCAAGACAAATGAACACTTTGGACAATGTTCCCATTTGGGGCAGTCATCACTTAGCACCCACAGAACAACATGTATGCTAATATTATGTTCCAAACAGCCAACCCAGCCAGAGGAAAGATTTATTTTTTCTTTACTTTTTATGACGACTAAAGCAACGATAAAAATGGTTCCCATTTACATATAGCTACTACAGTCAATAACACCGTATGTATAGCTTTCAACGGCACGAGATTTAATATTTCTGACGCTTTAAGCCAGAGTTAGGAGTGTTAAGCCGGGCACAGCTGGAGACAGGAGTGTGAAGCTGGGCCCTCCCCAGCTGTGAGGGATAATAAGTTTCTAAATACACTTCAAATAAGGCAAACAATAATACAAACATTTTTAATAATAAGCTACCAAAATAAAATAAAAAATTATTCATCTATCTCTATACTACTAAAACTCAACTTTGTTTATATGTTAGAATATTTATTTGTTTGTTATTTGTTTGTCTGATTGACTACTGGAGACAATCTGCTCTATGTGGAGAGCTGTAAAATAATAAGTAGGTAGAGAAAAATTGTTGTTTTCAGACAGACTATTAATCACAAATTTATTTAAAGACCTTAATTAATGTATTGATTTATTCAATTTAATTTTAAAAGTTTAGAAAAACGACTTTACTTTGAGTGAATAGTGACGTCACATGATTTGTTTACTTTTTAGTACAATAAATGGCTGCTCCATACAAGATTTCGTATCTTATTCAGATCTTTAACGCGTTCTAAAGCTGACTTTCTGTCGGCTATAACTTAAACAATACGTCCGTTTGCTGTTTTTATTACGTTCCAACACTTATATCAATTTTCAACTGTCTTTTTCATTTAGTTGTACAATAAATTTCTCAAGCTCTACAGTCTGTCTAAGAAAGTTATTTATAGATTTAGATCTAGCATCTAGGTCAAACCAAAGATTTATTAGTTATAAATACAATCCAAAAAAAAAATAGACTTAAGCAAACCAGTCGTAGATCTAGAATATAGATAATTCTATCTAGATTTAGATAATAACGAGTTTCTATATACTAAACTATTTTAGACCTTTATTATTTTATATAAATCTTTGTTTGTTTAGCTATGGAATATGCTACTTTGGAAATGCTCCATCTAGGGCCTATTTGTGTAACTTAAGATTCATACGCAGCTTCTATACCGCTAATTTTGCAAAATTATAGACTTAACGTAAATTTTAGATCTAGCTCAATCTAGATGTACTAATCTATTTCAGGCCTTAATATATTACTTTATATAAATCTTTGTTTGTTTAGCTATGGAATAGGCCAATTTGGGATAATATTAAATTTGAAATGCTCGATCTAGGGCCTATTTGTGTATTTTAAGTTTCATACAAGGATTCTATACCGCTTAATTTGCTCATAATTGTAGCTTTACAGATAGGTGAGTTGAAAGTGTAATCGCTACCGTGTGTGTGTGGTACAGGTTCGAAACACACCTTGTGAATATTATTTTTTTTTTTGTAATTTTTTTGTATAGATGTGAATGATAAAGTTGTCAATGGGGACTTGGCAGGACACGGGGCAGGTGAAGTAGAGTTCATCTGTTTCTGTGTTCTTGGCATATGAAGGGATAGTGTGGTCAGAGCCATGCTCGGCCGGAAGCTTTTTGTAATCGATAAATAGATGTTGTCTGAAACTTGGCGAGACACTGGGCAGGCGAAGTAGATATGGGTAGACCATATGGGCTGAGCATAGGTCTGACCACATTACCCCTTCTTATGCTGACGTCACAGGTGAACTCTACCCATATCTACTTCGCCTGCCCAGGGTTCCCAGAAAGAACCGCAACGGAAAAAAGCGCAACGGAAAAAAGCGCAAAACAAAAAGCGCAACGGAAAAAAGCGCACACGGAAAAAAGCGCAAAGAGAAAAAAGCGCACACAGAAAAAAGCGCAAAGAGAAAAAAACGCAAACAGAAAAAAGCGCAAAGAGAAAAAAGCGCACACAGAAAAAAGCGCAAACGGAAAAAAGCGCAAAGAGAAAAAAGCGCAAAGAGAAAAAAGCTCAAACAGAAAAAAGCGCAAAGAGAAAAAAGCGCACACAGAAAAAAGCGCAAACAGGAAAACGCACAAACGGAAAAAAGCGGAAAGAGAAAAAAGCGCAAACGGAAAAAAGCGCAAAGAGAAAAAAGCGCACACGGAAAAAAGCGCAAACGGAAAAAAGCGCAAACGGAAAAAAGCGCAAACAGAAAAAAGCGCAAACAGAAAAAAGCGCACACAGAAAAAAGCGCAAACAGAAAAAAGCGCAAACGGAAAAAAGTGCAAACAGAAAAAACAACGAAAAATGTGCAAAAGAGAAATTTAGCACAAAGACCATCGAGATTTTTAGCGCTAGAAATAATAGGCGGTTTGTTCAAATGATTATATCTCGATAATCATTCAACAGATTTCTATAATATTTTCAGGCATTATGAGGAGTCATACTGGCTTTTGATTTATGTAAAAAAAAAAGAAAATTGAACGTCTTAGCCGACCCCCCCCCCCCCCCAACTCAAAAGAAATGTCGTCATC